GAAGCCAATTCCAGGAAAGCAGGCACTGCGTTGCGCCACACGCGTAGGCCAAGGAATTGCGTCGGCGGCAGTCAGTGCTTGTGAAGCTTAACTCGCAGGACGACGAAGACTCACACGCCGGCGCTCCGTTGCCCTCATTCTCCGAACTGCCCATGAGCTTACCTTCCACGCGGCTCCACGTTGTCAAATGGCAGCGCACAACTCCCTCGTACCGTCCGCGTCCTCCGCCAGCGGGTTCGCCTCCGTCGTGCACGCCCTGTCCAGGCAACGAATTTCTTCTCCGTAGTGCAGTCCCAGACTAAGTCGCTGGCCCACGCGCCGGGCGCCGTCGTAGAGCACACCCGTCCCCGCCGAACGGATTGCGAAAAGGAGCCCCGGCCCCCGACGACGAGGGCGCGGCAGAGGGGGCCCTCGTATAGCCTGTCGCCCCGCGCGGTGGGGCATCATTGCCATCCCCCGCGGCGCTCACAGGGCCGGCGAGACACGCGGCGGCGGGTGGCGCGCCTGGGCCGATGTGCTCTGGGCGGGCAAACGTGGCGATGAATTGTTGCAAAGAGACCCAACCAATTATTTTGTAATGTCCCAGCTGTGCGACGTCGGGTTCGCCTTCGGCGACGGCGTAGTTGCAGACCGCGTTGGCGTTCCTTCGCCGGGCAGGTCGATGGGCGACCGCCGATTGAAGATGCCGTAAAATCATTTGAGCCGCCTAACAGCTTTGAAGAGCCTTTGGCGTCGACCACCCGCCCAATCTCAGGGCGTGTGGGAGGCGTACTGGACAACGTGCGGTGCAGGATCCTGCTTATGAACGCTTTTGCCCTTCGGATCCATTAAGGCTGCGACAAAACTACACGTAATGATGCATCCTAGGGCAGAAGATATTATGGAAGGCATTTTTTTTGGTTCGCCCCGCATTCACATGAGCACACACATCTCTTCCCATACTGTTTCACTCGCACAAGCTCTCCATCAACGCGTGGCGGCGACGAAGAGGACAACTAGTGCATAAAAAAAATGACAGAAGCGTCTACAGACTCCGTGCGAGATGGCTCCCCAATACATCGTATTATTCTTCAATGCTTTGCCCCTAGAACACCAAATTTCCGTTTTTTTTCTTGCGTCTGCCTGTGACCAGTTCTCGTGCAGAAAGCTTTTACCATTCTTTTGAGCGGCCCTTATTAGATCACCTCTTCTTCTCCTGCTGAGTTGCAGCCCAGCGGGGCGCACGCGATGCTTACGCGTGAATGAGGGACTCCGCCTCTGCGAGGTAGCGCACGCCGGACCCAACAGGGGACTGCAGCAACATAACGAATGGTTTTTTGTGATACTCAATGAGATCCTTGCAGTCGTTTGGGACCGGCGCCTCTTTGATCTTTTCAAGCAGGGTCGTATCGTTGAAGCAGAACCGTTCGTATGGAGTTGGGAAGTGTTGCATCAACATGGCCACCGCCTCTGGAAGATTTTGTTTAAGAACAAACAAAAAACAATTTGCCCCCGCGTCAAACGTGTACGCCAATGTGGGATGACCTTTTTTGGCGTTATACGCCTTCACAAGTCGCATCATTGCATAGCTGTCCTCTGTGGCGTACTGGATCCGAGGCTGCGTTGTGGCGCAGATTTCTTGTAAGTCGTCTGACTCACACATTGCGATTTCGGCAAACGTAGAAAAATCCTTCTCCCGAATCGCCTCCGAGACAAGGCGCATACGCTCAGGTACCGTGGTGGCAATGCGCTTGGGCATCAGTGGAGAAGTCTGCAGCGACTGCTGCATGCCTGCCGTGCTTGACGTGCCCTTCTTCTCCCCCTGAAGGACGGCGCACAAGACCTGCATTTCAGGCCAGTGGTTCTCGTCGACAAATTGAGTGGCCACACAGTCGCTTCCGTCCGGCTTCTCGCCCTTATGCCAAACCACAAACCCACCAAAGGCGCTTCGACAGGCACTTCCTGACCCCAATCGAGCAAGCATCGAGACATTCGCAGTGGATTTGAAGACCCGCACTAGCGCCGCCGCAAGAGCGCAGTACCCACTTGCAGAAGACGCCATTCCGGCGGCGGTAGGGAAGTTGTTCTCGGAGGCGATGTACACCCGCTTGCACTTTAGCTCCTCGGGACAGGTATTCCGCACGTGCGCCAACACAGATTGCACTCGCGGAGAGTTCCGTATGTCGGATTTCTCGCCGTTAAGAAAGAGCGTGTCCTCTTCCAAATCGTCGCGAAGCGCCACCGACGTTTTGCTGCGAAACGGCTGAGTGGCGAGGGTGATACTGAAGGAATCGTTTGTAGGAAGAATAAGCTTTTCCCCGCCCTCGCGTTTTCCCCAGTACTTAATGAAGGCAATGTTGATAGGTGCCTCGACGGTTACAGTTGGCGCTGCCATTTGCTCTGAAAGAAAGTCAGTGTGGTGTCTAGCAATTAGTAACTCTCTTCCACACACACACACACACACACGCACATGCACGAAACGGCAAGGGGAAGCAGGCAACGCAGCCACAACGCAGAGGCGGGTGGGGGAGGGAATTCGCAACGCGGCTGCCGTATTCATTTAACGACGTTCGCCATGAAGCGGAGAGAGACAGATACGAAAGACAAATAGAGAAAGGAAAGAGTGACAGGCAAATAACAAATTAAAAAAAAAAACGGAAGGGCTACACGCCCTCCAGAGCCCACAAGCAAAGAAGTGAACTCACCCAACACGTCTCGAGTGGTGAGCCTAAGCGGCTGGATGCAGGCAGCATTGCAGAGCGTGCATAGCTTGAAGGTGGGCAGTATGACAGCAAATCGCGAGATCAGGTGGACGCAGAACTTCAACCGATGCATGCTCGCCCCAGCCAAACACGGACAAAAAGGACAGTGCCTCTTCCGCGTCGCGGTCCAGGCGAGTGCGCTTGGCAGCAGGATCCGCTGGCCCACGACTCCCGCCTCCCTGCAAAAGCTGTAGCGCGTGACCCGCGTCGTCCCCGTGAAAGAACTCCACAACTGCCAGAAATGAAGCTCCATCCAGGGAGACGTTAAAAGAATAATCCGTCACGGGCCCAACGTGGCGGGTAAACCTCACAATTAAGCCAGCTGGGTCAAGAAGAGTCATGGGTATTTGTACGGCATTACTAATTCGTCGGCTTCTCGCAATCTCCGTGGCTTTGACATCCTGCACCTTCTCACAGTTCCCAGCTTCAGCAGAACCGGATGGTGCGGCACCGCCTCGAAGGAGCTGCCCAACCTCTTTGTCTGTTGCCCGCATGTTCTCTTCAGCCTCGCGAATCGCATCCTGGACGTGGCAGTACGACTCTTGCAGCTGCCGCAGTTGCTGAACGAGGCTGTGGCGCTCACTGCCCTCCGCGGCAGTCGACAAGAGCGCGGGTATGCTGTCAACAAGCGGCGTGTCCATCCGCAGCTCGGGGGGCATTCGATGATTCAACGGCAAATTTGGGTTTGCCACCACCTGCTGATCCCTGTTTTCGCGCTCAGCAAGCGCGTGGCCCTCCGCAGCGGCCTCCAGCGGCAGTCGCTTGGTGTAGACGCTCGAGGAAATGTGAATGACGTGATTCTTCAGCTTCTCCCCGTCAAGGTAGTTGACCGCCAGCTGCGCCGCAGAAGCGTGTTTAAAGCGCACCCAGTAAAAGGAGCACCTCCGCGCCGTGTCGTACTGCACCTTTGTCTCCTCTACCTCGTCAATGATTCGCAGCCAGTCGTGCACGTCCTCAAGGAGAACGGCCAATTGATCCTCCACAAAAACATGAACCACCCTCGCATCATCCCTAGTGGCCATCTTTCGCTAACGCAGCCGCCAGGGTAGTAAAGGCAGCAACAGCATCCGTCATTATGGTGAAAAGAGGCAAGGAAAGAAAAAGACGCAAACCACACGCATACACCTGGCGGATAATGCAGGGCGGAGCGGGAGGGGTGATCGGAAACCGCAATCATCCTGCAGCAGAGCCAGAAGGAGGCAAAAAAGTAACAGTAATAATACTAAAAAAAAAAATCTTCCCTGTTTCTCCCCCTTTAGGTACACCCGAACCGCAACTAGACCCGCACCACAGAGATGCATACAAACGTGCATGGGGGAGAAGACACAGCTGGACGCATTCTTCGGTGGGAAGCAAAGTGTACAGCGAGCGGAAAACGAATTAAAAACGAGGAAAAGAAGGAAAACATTTTTCCCCTTTTACACACAAAAAAAAGAGGGAGTGCCGCAGATACACGCATTTCCGGAATAATGCTTATGGACCACGCATGTGTTTCACATGGAACACGCAGCGGAACCGGTGGTCTCAACACTAAACCAAAAACAATCCAAAAAAAGTAAAGGGGGCACGCAACAACCGCTAAAACCGAAAGTAAAAAAAAAAAAAGGACCGACAACGGAGAACAAAAACAATTTCGAGTAAGCACCTTTATATACTTGCCAACAACACCGCGTCTGTGGTTGTGTGTATGAATCCCTTCACTATGAATCTCCTTTCTCCTGCTCCTCGTTTTATTTTTATTCCCTCACTCGGCCCCAAATCATATTTACGCCCCTGCGGCAACTTGCGTCCGTTCATAGCTTCCGCACATATATTTTATAAATATGTATATGCATATATATGTATATGCGTGTATATATATATACATATATATCGTACTCCTATCCACCTCACTGTCGTCCCTTTTTTGTCTGGTGGGTTGCTCTTTTTTTCGTTCTTTCTTTCGTTCCTCGAAGCTCCTTTTTGTTTCTCTGCTTGCTTGTTTGTTTAAATGCCGCTTTCACGCACCGCTGACGCTAGTTGTCTCCTTTGCTTGGTGCGTTTCTTCACCCACCAGCGAGACTCTGCTGCCCTCGGACAGCGAGAAGGCGCGGCGGCGAGAGCGCCACATGCGCAGGCACACGATGAGCCAACATGGCACCGCCAGAAACATTATGGAAAAGACCACCAGCAAGGCGTCGCGCAGTTGATACTCGCTCACACAGTGGCCAGAGGATGCGTCGGCCGTGCTGTTCACCCATCGGCAGTGGTCGGCGCTGTCATGCACGCAGTTCGCGTAGTCCAGCCGTGGGCAACCTCTGGAAAAAACCTGGTCGGACAGAAGACCCGTGAAAGTCGGGGATGGAAAGTCGCCGAGCGCGTGGATGACAAAGACCGAGTAGCTTATCGCGTACGCCTTCAGCTCTTCCGGCACCACGCTCATAATTGCCGCATTCACAGGCGCAGTCACCATAAACAGGGCAAACACGGACACAATCAGGAGGAAAATAAAGACGCCGAGGTTCTTCATAAAAAGTGCAACGATACCAAGTGGAACCGACACCGCGATCGTGAGAGCAAGAAGCAATTGTCCCTTGATCATGTTCATATTCTCATCTCGTCCTCCTATCTTGTCAAGGGCAAGGCCCCCTGCAACAGAACCCAATACACCCGTAAGCGCCGTCACTCCCCCCATAATCAACGAAGCATTCATGTAGGAAAGCTGCATAGGGCCCTGTATAAGCATAGGGATCCCCCAAACAGCCACGGACCCGAGAACAAAACAATACATTGCGTATCCAAACACAATCAATACATAATTTAAATTTTTTAGCAGAATCCAAGTTGCTTTGTGCAGCGGGAAATATTCTTTCTCATCTGAGTCTTGGCGCATGTTATATATTGCAGGTAAAAAGGCGATAAGTAACACAATGGGTACGGAGGCCAGGACTTCAGAGAAAAAAACAAGACGCCATCCATCAGTAAATCCCACTGCACCAAAAGAACTTATTATTCCCCCAACTGCCATGCCAACCGCAGTTCCCACAGGCATCATGGAGTAGAATGTACCTATCCATAACGTGCGAGAGTTCGGCGGCGCAATACGGTCTATAGTAGTCACGGTAAATCCCACAAACGCTGCCTCACCAACACCGACAATAATTCTGCACACCAGGAGAAACACATACGACATTGCGAAGCCCGTGCCTACACACGCAAGCGCCCATGCAACCATGCCTCCCACAATCATCCACTTGGAAGGCACAGTTCCGCCCAATGCCGCGAATAATGGGCTTGTTGTCATAAAACCAACCATGAAGCCCGAAACAATGAAGCCCATTTTCGTATCCGTTAGGGTTGCTGTGTCGCCTGCTATCTGTTTGTCTTCCTTAATACTTGCTAGGCAGCCGGAGATGGCTCCACGGTCGTAGTAAGTGATGAAGTTCAGGGCGGTGAAGATGGCCAAAACAACCCGTGGGGTCACGGTCCGTCGCCAGCAACCCGGCCTTTCCTCCTCCTCCTCCTCCCTCACTATCACGGCGTCCTCGGCGTGCTCCCCGTCTGGCCGTGACGACTTCGCGGATCTACGAAACGCGCGCTCGTCAGTTTGGTCTGGACACATTTCGTAGAGCTTCTTCCCCACAGTGGCCATACGGGCTGGAAAAACTACGGCCCAACGCAGCAACAAGCAAAGAAACGCAAAAAAAAAATGGAAGGAATAAAAAAGAGAAAGGTGGAGGTAACGGAAGCCCATGTGAAAAAAAAGCAGCGGCACACGATAAAGTGAAACGAGAACTGGCGACAACAGCAAAGACAGCGTCAAAAAGGAAGCGAAATAAAACAAAATAAAAGTGCCACACCTTGCGGCACCCACCCACACCCAAAGTAAAAAAGCGCCGTCATTCCCCGGCACGGCAGCTGCGTCTTCCTCGTCGTCGCTCACAGACCGGCGCCCCACTGCGAGAGGAAGCGCCACCTTCGCCGCCAACGCGCAGAAAACCCCATCACTATTCAAGATATAAATAAATAAAAAGCGGAATGACTTCAAGCCCCCCTTCCCCCCCTCCCAAAAAAAAAAAATAATAATAAAGCTTCTTAACATAACCAAAAAGACATTAGTGGAACAACAGCGAATCAATGTGGCGTGACCCCACAATTCCCCTTTGAAGAAAGAAAGAAAAAAAGGCCATCAGAAAAGGTCTACACAGTTGTGATAGCCTTCAAAGCGAGCAGAGCCGAGGCAACACTACTTGTATCGGGCAACGTCTCAACCAGAGTCCAGGCGACATGCGCCCATTCCGCCTGTTTCGCCGTCTCGGTAAGAATAAGATAAAATACAGAATTATTCCACGCCTCCACCGTGAAGTACTCGAGAAAGGGTCGTACAAAAGACAAGGGATGGTTGGTAACCGCCCGCACCGCATTTGAATGTTTTATAAAGGAAGCAACTGTCACGTCTTCAACACTTAGTGACATCAGCTCCATGAGCCGCTGTACCACGGATAATTGTTCTGTACGATCAAAGGCAAGTGTAAACGCTTTATACAGACATGAAAGAGCATCGGTAACGTGGCCTGTGCATTTCTCGGCGCTGCTGTCATCACATTTCAGAGAAGCGGCTATGTCATTCATCGCCAGCGACACAGCTCGCATGTAAAGTTTTATAGTAACACCATGAAGAAAAGGATACTCTGACGCGTATTGCAAAGCCATAAAAGACGATCCCTCGGCCAAAGCCTCATGGTCTTTGAAAGTCGCAGGTAGGGTGGATAATTCATCTACAATTCTCTGTATGTGTTCTGGGGTCTCTGCAGACGGCCGCCGAAGATGTCCTTCTGCCTCAGCTAAGAGGAACGTCAAACGGTGGTTCATATCGGGCAGAGACGCAACGGACTCTTTACACACACGCAGCTGTTCTTCTAACTCACCTGGAGTGATTTGCGGAGAACCAGTCGCAAAGAGTTGAAACTCGTCCTCTAACATGCATAGAAGTGCTGATATGAGAAATGCACGAGACGCGCCCTCACCGGGTGCAGGGTCTTGTAGGGCAACAAGCATTGCAGCACGAAACAAGAAAACGCTGGTTGGATTAGGACCATCCGTGAACTCTGAACCCAGGATGAGAAACGCCTGCACCCACCACGTTACTTCATCATGCGATAACGCTAACGTGGCACATTCGTCTGAAAGTAACCTTTGAAAACGCTCTGTAACGACACGCAGCTGCTCATCTGTGCAGTCGCACGCCCTACCTAGCAACGACGCCACATACACCCGCAGTAACTCAAGTTCTGTGGGATAGTCTGGCACAGGAGCGGAGGAAAATAGGGCCCGGGTGATCACTACAGAAACACCATGCAGGTAACCACGCCTCAGGGAGTAGTTAAGAGCTGTACAGAGAGCGGGCATCACCAACTCGGCAGGCTGACACAGCAACAGACGATTTAATTCCGTTTCCAGGTCCCCCTCATTGGCCTCTAGCACAGCGACCTTAAACAGCAAGGTGTGAGCAAAGGGACACTGTGGGTTTCGACCGGAGGTGTAATCCAAAAGTATATGCTTCGCCCTTGTTAACGCGTTCGATGGTTTTTCAGAATCCTCAGATTGCGTGATATATTCTGTACAGAGACGAAGATAGATGGCGTCAAGCTCCGTGTCACTGGCACAATCCTTAAATCGAAGAGCCGTTTCAAGACAATCCACGAGCTGCAACGGGGCAAACTCCGCCGTGTCAGCGAGTTCCCAGATCCAGAGGAAACAATAACGGCGGTGTCGAGCCTCTTCAAAGTCTATGCCTTCATTCTGTAAAATATGTAGGGCCTCCTTGCATGACGCAAGACTCCCATTATGAAGCAAGAGTTGCGTCAACCGAAAGGCAACAACTTCACTGGATGACTTGCCCTTTGCTTTGCTGTAGAGTAAACGCATGCCCTCAATGGAACCCTCCTTTGTCTCCACAAGGAGATTGTGCACTTCAAAACACGCCGCCACCGCGTCATCGACGGAAGCGTCTGATCTGTGAACATACTGGTGAAGTAACGCAACTGCCTCGGTTTCCATACCCGCCTTTGCTGTCGCCGTCAGACGCAGCAATGCGGAGGTGCTCGAATGAAGTGCGGCGTCGGCCTCCACCGCCCAACTCAACGCCTCTGTCGCTTTCCCTTCACGGAGCCAGGAAAGTGCGAGTTGTTCCATTGTGGCACCATGAAGCATCAGGTCATGATGCGATGGATCGCTCCTCCCCGCTCGCTGGAAGTGATTCTGCACCTCCAGCGAGCTCTGAAGCATGTCACGCATGTACTGTTCCTCACTAAGAGGAAGAGTACTGTTGCCCACGGTAAACACAAAACGAAAGAAGGCTTCTCTGTGCTCACGTAGTAAGTCGTGATCTTTTAATAGCATCTGTGCGAGTTTCTTCGCCGCCTCGCAGGATTCCTGGTAATGCCTCAGATTCCAAGTGATATCCATATCTGTGTACGCGAACTCCCAGCTCATGTTGCGATGTTTAAGGTGGGCAAGGCTATTTTTCACACCGGCACGTATGTACGACGCCACGGTTTCACCCACTGAGAGAAGTTCCTTTGCACTACCTGCCACACCGCAAAGCGAAAGGTCCCGCGACGCCTTGAGGCACATCAACACACACTGCTCCGCTTCACGCGGGTGATGGGCAAAGTAACTGTGCGAAACGTCTCTTGGCGCGTAGGCGTAGTTGCCAAGAAGAAACGCCTTTGTGGCAAAATTTCGCAGAGAGGATTTTAAAACCCGCTCGTCCAGAGAATCTTCTCTGGGGGAATGTCGCACCGTCATGTTCCAACACGAACTTCCAAGAAACCGCAACTCCTCGAGTGTCTTTACTGGGGGACTAACACCTCCCTCCTTTGTCGCCGCTGCCGCCGACATCGACGCCACCATTGCCTCCACGGCCTGCGTGAGAACCGCAACTTCTGAGAGAAGTTTGGTGTTGTCACTTTTGTCCTCCTCGCGCGTGGCGAACAAATGCAGCACTTCATCGAGTCTCACGCTCAACGCGTGCGTGTCCATCACCGACGCTGCCACCTCCGTCATCTGCTACAGTAGCTGCGCCTGTAAAGCGTGTTGGCGACGGTGTGTCTCTGCTGCCGTCGCCTCCGTGTGGCGGGTGAAGCTGAGCGACACACACACACACACACACAGGAAAAAAAGAGGAAGGAGCAAAGCGACAAGAAAGAAAAGGGTGAGAGGGGAGAAACAAATAAAAGAGCAGTGATGCAGGCAAACAAGGTGAATTTAAGCCAATGGGAAGAATGCCAAGAAAGAGACAGAGAGAAGTGGAGAGCCGACTATAGTCCTCACTGCCATCGCTTTTGTACACCCCTTCCTCCTTTCTCCTTCCTTTCTCCTTCGCTCTCACTCTCTCTCGTTGTGGTACTACGCCTTCCTCGACCCATTCTGTCAATTACTGGCTTTCCACGCTACTTTGTGGCCTTTTGGGCTGCTATCGTCTGCTTGGCTGCTTCCAACTCCTCTTCCCGCACCATTTCCTTTTCTCTCTCCCTCACCATTTGCAGAATCTGCTTCGAAACTCGGTGTTCACGCACTTTGCGCTCAAGCACAGGTGTTGTGGGGCCCACTGTGTAGGCATGATACACAAACGTCAACCATATATTCCCAAAGAGTATTACGCACATAAACACCATGGACATCACAAATGTCTTCCAAAGCTGCAACTGCGTCTTGCGCCAAACCCATCGAGCGCGATTGGTGCGGAACGGCTTCGTCAGGCGTCCTATTTTGTTCATTACCAGCATGCGGAAAAACATTGACCGACGAGCGAGTGTGTCTTTCGGTGGTCCAACTCCGGGACCCCACATGCCAGGCCTATCCGAGTACTTGGACGGTGTCGGCATGAGATGCCCACGGTTCATGCACCGTCGCTGGCATCGTCGAAGCATTGAAACCCAAGACGCGACAACTTCCAGCCAAAACAAGCAAGGAAAGAAACAAACTAATTTTCCACCGCAGAGAAATTAGAAGATATAGGCGTAGAGAGACAAAGAAGAGCAAAAAATAAAAAAGAAATAAACAAGGTGCAAATGCCATTATTGGAGGTATTAAAGTACGTCTGTGTGTTTATAGTACAATACAAGCGCCTATACGTCCCCCCCCCAAAGCAGGGGATAAAAGGGATATGGATGGAATGATGAAGAGGTTTTTTGATATAACTTTCACTGCCTTGAAAACAAAAACAAAAACGCATGTGTTACACCGCCGACAAAACGCAGCTAACGCGCAGCATTTTCCTTAGCAAAGACACTTTTCATACAACTCATCTTCATTGGGTGGTTAACCAGCAAAAAAAGGCTTAATTGGCGTTCAATGGGGGGGGGGAGAAACGACGCGCGTAGGGTATATACTTCATGAATAGAAGCAGAAGCAATGAACGCATAAAAGAAAAGTAATGATGGCAAAACCAAGCAGAGAAAACACCACAAAAAAGCTTACACACCTACAGGAAAGATGAAGGAGAGAGAGGGAGAGAGAAAGAGAGGGACATATAAACTACAAGCATTTACATTCCCCCCACCCCCAACATTCTCTTCTACTGCAGAGGCACATAAACAACAACGTATAAATTCCTTCGTGTGTTGGGGCTAACGTCTCCTTGGGGGCGGTTTGGGCTTATGTACTGTCGTGGCACAGCGAGGAATATGCCGCTCCGCCACGTCCGGGGCAAACTTCCTCCCACAGTGTGGGCAGGGCGTATAATGACTATTCTCACTATAAGTTGGGGGCGGGAGATCTCTTGCATTGCCCCCAGCCTTGAGCACTTTGTCCACTTGACGTGCCTCTCGCATGGAGCGTCGAAATGCCTCACTTTCAGCTCGCCAGTCTCGTTTTGGAGCCGGCGCCACTGTTGAAAAATTGCCTCCCGACTTCGCTACTCGCTCCGCGCCTGTGCCTGAGAGACGCATTGCTCGCATATTGAACACCTTCCGCTGCTTTTGCGAGCCACACACACGCTGGTGTCGTGCTAAGGACTCAAGAGCAAAGAACCGGCCACAGTTGTCGCATTGTTCTCTTGGTCCCTCATCTATGGCTTCTCCTTCTTCCTCCTCCAAAAACTCCGGCCGGTTAGTGGAGAAATTATTTTTGGACAGCACTGGAAGTGAGCGTGGCTCGTCCCCCTTCACACCTCGTGGCCTCCTTAGCACCTCTGGAGTATCGCTGGCAAAAATCCCTTGTTTTCCATTTTTCGCCCCCCGCAGCTTTGACGGTGAGAGAATTCCCTCCGCCGCTGCCCCTCGTGTCGCAGTGAGGTTTGGCAGCGCATTGGATTCCTTGGAGGAGGGCTGAGGCTTGACACCCTCAGGCGGTAACGTGGACGGCTGCTCATGCGGTGTGTTGTCCACGGCATTCACCGTAATTTTTTCCAAAACTTCGCCACATTCCTCGCAGAACCTTGCCGTTGGGTCGTCAACAGACTCAGCGCATTTTTTACAGAACATCACTTCCTTCGTCGCCGGCGCACCAGGCGAGGACTCTGCATCCCCACGGGACGCACCAGTATTCTTGCAGGTGCCACCATCGGCACCACAAACCGTTTTGCACGTTGGGCATATTAGAGTCCGAGCGGCGGGGGAGATTAAATTCTCGGCTCCGGCCTTGTGCTCACCCGCCGCCGCGGCATTGATGGATACACCACAGGCGCCACAGAACCTGGAGCCTTCTGGAATCTGTTCCCCACAGTTGGCACAGGGACCAGGAAGTTTTTTGGAGGTCAAACCAGCCCCGCATTCTCTGCAAAACTTTGCCGAAATGTCATACTCTACAACGCCGCAACGGGGGCACGTGCGCCCCGTTGGATCCATGTTCCCACTTTTTTGTAGTCGGTTCACCTTGGGATTGATTTTTTCCACATCTCTTGTAGAAAACCCCTCATTGCGGGGCCGGCCCCTTGTTGCATTCGGTTCCTCATTTCTCCCATCTGTCACACGACCTCCCAAACCATCTGCACTAGCCGAAACTAGGGATGCACGCGAATCCGAGTTGCACATCGACGGTGGCGTCGTTGTTGACCGCGGTGGTGCTTTGCCTCTCGAGCCGGGCGTGCATGAGCGGAGGTGAACGACAAGACGGTCGGCGAGAAATTTTCTTCCACAGTTAGGGCATGGCGCCAAAGCCTCCACAAATTCGGCAATTTGGGCGTCATTATGCGCGTCTATCTGAGCCCCCTCAGCCTTCCAATTAACTGTGTCCGGGTGCCTTGGTGGCTTGCCTCGCGTATTTACGTCGGCAACCTCCCATTGGGCCAGTTTTTTTGCATAGCATTGAGATACATGGATTGCCATAGAGTTGTTTTCAACCTGCTGGCCGCATAGATAGCAAACAGGCAACTGCGGATTCTGCCCCGGTGCCCGTAAAGCAGGCGGCTCATTGCTTTTCTTAGAAGAATGCAAACTGTGTGCCGATTGTGCAACCCGCTGCGTGGGCGTTGTCGCCCCAGCGAAGGCTCCATTGCAGCCACTACTACCTCCACCTCCTCCAGCGCCTCTTGCCGTCGAAGCTGGCCTGCTGTTGCCCTTGCAGCTACGCAAGTGAACCTCAAGACGATCGGGGAGAAACCTTCGCCCGCAGTTCCGACAAGGCACCAAGTTGGCGGTGAACTCCTGAAACTGCTCGTCGTTAAGCTTATTCGTGTCCATGCCCTCGCCCTTCCAGTTCACCGTGTCGGGGTGCTTGGGTCGTTTCCCACGAGTGGCAGGGTCGGCGATTTCCCACTGCGCGACCTTCTTCGCATAGCACTGCGGGATGTGGATGCCGATGGAGGCCGTGCCAAACTGTTGTCCGCACAAATAGCACACGCGCAGCTGCGGCTTAAATGCCGGCCCTTTTCTAGCACCTGACAGCATCTTTTCTGCTACTTCGCTCCTACTCTCCTACACGGGCCCTCCAGAGATGCTCTGGGCGCGATACAAGAGCCACGCTCTGGCGCGCCAACACCCCCGAGCACGAGAAGGCACAAACCCCACAGAGAAGGAACAGAAAGAAAATGCACATAACAATAAAAAACAACAACGACAACGCCAAGAGCAGGGAAGGAATGAGCACAGAACAGGCTTGAAGAAGAGCGAGTGGTGGGAGACACAGCCACTACCGCCTCAATCTCGATCGTGAGCACATCTCCCACGGAGCCAGAACTATAATAGTTTTTGTTTAAAAAAACAGGTGAAATAAATACGAACAACAACAACAACAACAACGTATATGCACATCTATGTGTATATATGTTGTTTGGCGAGAAGTGGGGTTCCGCCTCTCGCGGAGAACCCAAAAGTGGAAAGGGGCGATATTGCAGAAATGTCCCTTCAGACAGAAACCAAGGAGATGAGCGCACTCCCGTTTAATACCGTCACTACTAATATTGCAAACGTCACTACTTTTTACTACGACAAAAAATTGTACTGCTGATGTTTCTGCTACCGCCACGCACGTGAACTCGCTCTCTCTCTCTTGCTCTCCCACACGCACACACGTACAAAGCTCAAAAATGGGCGCACATCATACAACTTGACCACGTTAGCGTAGCAAAGAGAGCTACATCCTGTACCTTTCAACTCTGCAGCTACCAGGAGAGGAGCAAAGAAGTTAAAAAAAATAAAATAAAAGCGTAAAGAAAAAAAAAACAACAAACAACCAAACCCACAATCACCACTTAACCCCCCCCTCTCCCCCCATTCCTAAACTTCCCTCATATAGCGGAACGCAGCAGAGAAACACCCCACCCTAGTGAATCGCCACCGGCCCTGGATTCTTCACAGTCGATGGGTATTTTGCACCCTCCAATGGACGGATGCGGAACTGTTGTCCGGGGTAAATTTCCTGCGCAAGCGCTTCTAAACCATCGCTGCGACCAAAGCCCGGCTCGGCCTTGGCGCGGTGAATGCCATACTTTTTCGCAGTTTCCTCCTCTAATTCAAAGGCCGCCTTGTCCGCCGCCTCAAGGGCCTTGTAGGCCACATCTAACTCATGAAGAGGGGGAAGTTCCACTTCGCCGCGTTCAATCGCGGAAGCCTCATAAATATTATGGGGCTCATATGCGATACGCTCCCAGGAGGCAAGCCGATCAAAAAGCGTGCTACGACGGTTTACTTGGTCCAGCTCGTATGTGACAATCCAGTTGTCGTCAAACCAGGGGTTTGGAACTACCCACGGAAGCAGCTTTCCAAAAAAGCGGCCAATACCACGGTAACAGGGAATTACTATACGCGAGTCAAAGTGGGCAGCAATCTGGCGAAATGCCTCAACATGCGTAAGTGTTTGAGGGCCTCCCAAGTCAAACTTATAACGTACGGCTCGCTGGGCCATGGAGCAACGCACGACGGCACGCGCTGCGTCCACAACCCACGTTGGCTGCACCAAAGTGTTTGGGAAACAGGCAGGGTAGATGTAGCGACCCAATCCACGGTATCGATACCGTTTTCCATAAAGTGGACCAAAACGAATAATTGTCGCATCTGGATGATTTGCACCCACCGCATCCTCCGCCCGCGCTCGAAAATCACAGTAGTTCGACTCCGAAGCAAATGTCGCATCTAGGCCATTGCAGAATATCACTCGTTCTGCGCGCACGCTACGTGCCGTCCAGCTTACGTTAGTGGACCCTGTCAAAAAGACATCATGGTGACTATTATTGGCGTACTCTGCATGGTAATCCACCGCAAATACCAGAGTATCACTGCCGTTGGAGGCGACATTCACTTGAATACGATCTGTCACGTCACACTCGTGCAGCTCAATCTTCTCTGGATACTTCTGGAGCAGGAGGTCAAGATCAGATCCGGCGGGAATGAGCGTGGGGTAACGAGTTGTGGCCCGAACCTTCTCTATGTCGGGATGCTCACAAAACTCGCGCACAATTTCCGCCCCAAGAAAACCACTGGCTCCGAACACTGTAACACGCTTAGCTGGTTTTGGGTTTAGGCGACGGCGCTCATGTGGGAGGCGCACGGCAGGGTTTGGCACCAGCATCGCGTTCCAGTACGGCCCACGCTCGTACCCAAATTCACCACCTGTCGTCTTTGGCTTCCGGGTGGGGTACATCTGCTCCAAATCCTTCCGATCAAGAAACATCGACTCGGGCTGGTGGCCGTAGGGGTCCCAGAAAGAGCGTCCCGCTGCTGCCACCAAGCGGCAGCTTCCACTCTTTCCCCATCGACGCATGGCGCTTTGCACTCTCACGCTTCACTCCACCACCACTTGTTGTGGATGCAACGAAAAACAAGCACGCAAACCAAAAAAGAAAAAGAAAAATAAAACCATCAGAAAGCAAGAATAGGGAGAGGGGGAACATTTCCTCCGTCGCCCGCAACTCGCTCGCGTGATCGCTAGAAAGCGATCTCCCAGAGAACCGGTTTATTTCCATTGACTCTTTTAGCATATCCAGAGAAGTAGTAAAACGCATTTCCTTTCATCGCTGTTCCTTCTCCCCTCCCCTTCTTTTACTCTTAGCCAACTCCCTTTTTTCTCCCTCTTTCCCTTCTTGTTGAGAGGGGGGGGGCGTTGGTACTTCTCCCCTCTTCTGACCTCTCCGTCCACGCACGAAAAGAACCAAAACAACAACATCAGGAATAAAAAAGACGCCCCTTTCCTCGATGAAAAGGCCGGACGCCACTCGCAGCTTCGCTACTGTACCTCTCCGTGGCTTTCTTTTGTCCTTTTTTTTCCTTTTAACGCTCCAGTACGATAGTCCAATCATCACGGATCAGAACATCAGGCCTGCGCAGCAGCAATGCGCCGCCCTGCAGTTCGTAGTCCACTTCGCGGCCAACACCAATCGAATCCACGGTAGTTTGCACAATCACACGCTTGGGCCGTCCTACGTAGCCGAAAACAATGACGCGCTCCACCGTGTTGCGCACTTCGAGCATGGCCGGGGTGGGTACCACGGCATCCGGGTGAGTAGTGCACGTAAGCCGATTTTCCGAAAACGAAAGCTGCCGGCGCATGTATGCCCCTGATTCATAATTGAATGACTCACCGTCATCTAGAAAGAGCTCACCGACACTATTGCCGTGCTCATTCAACGCCACGTAGAGGGTGAAGGGGTCATGCTGGGCGGCAAACGTACTGCGACGCATACGCAGCTTTGCGGGAACAATATGACCACCGCGAAAGAACATCGGTATCGAATCCATATCCACACTCATCTGAAAGACGCCGGGAGGCACCACCTCACCTGTGGCGTAGGAGTACCAGACACTGCCGGCTGGCACCGTGACATTCTTCTCTGTCACGCCTTGATGAAGCACCGGGGCGGCCAAGAGGGCGGGACCAAACATGAAGGTGTACTGTTCATCATATAACGCGTCATCGTGCGGGAACTCGTAGAAAAGCGGACGCAGCACAGTAGAACCGGTCTTGTGACTGAGGAAAAGCTGCGTGTACAAGTACGGCAAAAGGGAGTAACGAAGCGCCAACGCAACGCGAATGCGATCGGTTGCGGCTTCGCCAAAGGTCCACGGTTCACGGCGCTTCGTCTCCAAATGGGCATGAGCCCGCATGAAGGGATAAAATACACCTGCCTGCATCCACCGAACAAAAAGCTCCTCATCGGGTTCGAAGAAAAAGCCGCCAACGTCTGCACCGCAAAAGGCGTAGTTTGACACGGAAATAGACAACAGCTCTGGAAAAGAGTTTTGAAGATGATCCCATTTTGCCATATTATCACCAGTCCACATCGCCGCATAACGCTGGGCTCCAGAGAAGAAACTTCGTGTAAGAATAAAAGGTCGCTTAACATGGCTCAGACCTTTGCTCGCCTCTATATGCCCCTGGTACACACTCATCAAGTTATACACAGAGTACATATTATGCAGGTATTTGTTCTCTACCAATTTGCCACTGTCGCTGGTATGTTTGGCTTCCCGGCGCATTGTATTATCCCCCACATCGAATACGGATGGCTCATTCATATCCACCCAAGAGTGTACATCATGGCTGCCACCCTCGTAGCGGTCGTGGTGAAAAAATGTTGCATACCAATCCCTCGTTCGTTTGTTGTAGAAATCAACCCATGAACTCGATCCAGGCCAACAATTTCCCACATAATCTCCCGTTCCCTCAGCGTTCTTCACGTAGTGGTTGCCTTTTGTTGCCTCCTCATGCACAAAGTAGCCACTCTCGCGCTTCACGTGTGGATCCTTGATGGTGACAAGCTTCCGCCCCTTTGACGCCAGCGCACTGACAAGCAACTCTGGCTGGGGAAAATTGTGCTTGTCCCACGTGAAGTACTTCTTACCATCTGTGTGCTCAATGTCAAGCCACAGAACGTCATAAGGGAGATTGTGCCGGTCAAACCCCTGGTCCACGCTGAGACAATCAGTTGTGCTTCGGTAGTTCCACCGACACTGGTGGTAGCCGAGGCTGAAGTATGGCGGCAGCATAGTGTTGCCTGTGACGGAGGCGTGTTGCTTCTGCACCAAAGCAGGGGTTGGCCCAGGAAAGAAGAAGACGTCCACCAGCCCGGCTTCTGCACGCCATTGGCATCCAAGCACTTCCTCCTCCTCTTGAACCGTCACCCGCATCCCCGCACTGTTGAGAAAAAGCACCCCCGTGGAAGTCTTCGAGGAATGGGCTAGAATGAAGGGAATCGACCCATACAGGGGTTGGGGATCGTCAATTTTGTACTGAAAGGCGTCGGTGTTGTACATGACGTAGGTCACATTACTGCGCAGCGGCAGGTCCATTGCGTGCTCGGGAATGCCGTAGAGACGCCGAGCAGAGGGGAATTTAAACGCCACCGAAGGCTCCTCAAGAGAGTCCAAGGCCACTTGCAAAGAAGCCAGCGCAGACCCGCTGCATGCATAACTTGCATGGAAAACCTCCTCGACGACAGTGGTTGTCACGACACACGGTCCACTGCGAATGGTGCACGTTTCTCCTTCGCAGGTGGAGTCAAGCTTTCCCTTCTCTGGTTCCCGCACCACGACGTCTTTGACTTCGTAAAAGGATTCCGTCAACGGCTTCAGTGCGAGTCGTAAAGTCCCGCCTCCGTAGTTGGAAACATCAACGGTGGCTTTTGAGGCCAGCTTCACCACCTCTGCCCCGTCCACAGACAGCGCCGTGGAGACAAGGATCGTGGCGAGCAGCAGCAGCAGCCGTCGCGGCGGCCCGTGGGGTCCGGCGGACATCAGTCTGCCGATTCCTCGCTATTACGCTTGTGCCAGCAAAGATGTGTAACAAAATAAAATATACGTGTGTGTGTGTGTGTGTGCCTATGTTTGTATGTGTAGAAATAAATAGCGTGGAGGTGGCTTCAAGACAAAAAAAAAAAACAACCGCCCAGGAAAGAAAGAGAGCAGAGAAGTCACTACAAAAAAAAACGCGGTAACGTGGCAAGTGAAACCAAAGCAGAGGAACAGATAAAAAAAAAAGGAGAAAACATAAACGAAACACGTACACACACACACACACAGAGGGAGAAAGACAACGCGATACCCCAGAGAAGGGATGTTAGCAAGACAGGTGCACACAATCGCGTATGCGCAGATTTCATGAGGGCGCACTACACGGAAAAGACCTTCAAGACAGCAGTGTTTCCTTCTTAAGACCCTCTCTATCCATGTAACGAAGACCACAGTTCCTTGCGAACTCCGCATCCCGTCTTCCCTGCGACAACGCATCTGCACGACTGCACTCCACACCCCCTAGAGACTCACCCACAAGCAACGATTCCGCGTCGGGACGGAGTCCGCCGTTCAACTGGACGACAAAAAACTGCCACAGACCCGAGTATGGAAGAATAAACGGCATCCCTTCACGCCGGTGGGCTGCGCTGATGCACGACATGGTTGATATCACCACTGTCACGTCGCAGCTGAAATACTGTCGGCACAGTTCCGCAATGGGATGCAGCTTCGTCTCAAGCGCAGTCTCATTGCCATGATGAAGGGAGGGATAGTGGTCGAGTAGAACGATGCGGTAGCCCTTTTCGGCAAGTCTGGGCACGGCAGAGAGCAGATCCGAATCCACCACGGACCACACCCGACCGGCCGGTTGCAGGCACGCACGCATGGGTTCCCGCCGGATGAGGACATTGTCGATCATAAAGACAGCAATGAGCCGGGCGGCGTCGTTGTAGGTGGTTTTGGAAGCCCCATCCGCCGCGCCTCCCCGCCTAAAAACTCGGTAAAGGACTCGCCAGTCTGGAATATTCCACGCCAAGTCCTTGACGTGAATCGAGGTTTGTGGTTTCCCACGCATCACAAAATGAAGCGGCGCCGCATCCCGCACGCGGAGGAGATTAGCCATCGTTTCCTTCATAATAACACCCCCATGAGCCCCCCGACCACCGCGGGACTCCTCCAACGCCTTTTGAAGGTATTCCTCAAACCGCGCACCCATCTCTGCCTTCGCCTTTCGCCGCCGTGCTGCCGCCTCTGTGTCTCCCACAATAGTCTCTGTCTGCGTCCCACTCCTTGTACTCGTTCGCGTGCGCTTCTGCGCAGGTTGTGTTTCTTCCGCCACGACTAAGGCAGAACCCTCGGCGACGGCCTGCTCACTCGTAATGGGACGATGCAGAATATGCATCCCTTTTATCATGCGCTTCTTTGTCATGCTTTTGGAGGCTCTGACAAAGACGGTGCAGTCCTCTGGAACGGCGCTGGGCGGGAGAGACAAATTGTGCTCGTCGGTAAACAGAAGCGGGATGTGCGCCAAAATGTCGCCGCGCCGCGTCACTAGCCTCCCACTGGTATGCTCAAGAAGCAAAATAGCCGTGGCGGGAGAAACGGGCACCGGCGTGTCGTTCTTTGCGCGCCGAGGGCAAAGCAGCTGAAGCGGGACCCACACATCCTCCACCTTTACCTTGTTGTCAGAGCAGAACCTCGCGAGCGTGTCGGAGCCGCCACTTTGCAGCAGCCTGTATGCATCTGCCATTCATTCGGCTGCCAAATAGCCGCGGATGGAAGCGAGAGGAGAGAAAGGAGCTACCAGAGGAACCACAAGAAGGAAACTGCCTGGCAGTGTACCACGTGTTTCCCTCCCCAATAGGCAATCACCCGCACACACACACACACACATGCAAATGAAAGCAAAAAGCAAAACAAGAAGGAAAACAACAAACAACAGCAACACACACACGCACAGACACAGACACAGACACAAAGACAGAGAGGCCAGGAATAATAAAAACAAACTCAATTAAGCAAAACCCAACTCCCAGGAGCATCCACATTTGGGGCTTGTGATTCACCACCCTCCCCCTCCTGTTGCCCGCTCGAAAACCACGAGATGGAGACAATTATGAATGGCACGCCGTCCAACTCGGCGCTTGTCACGGCGACGTTGCCGCCTCCCTCCGCTGAGGGGTTAACCTCCGAGTGGCATGCGACCTCAATCCCACCACCGCCAGCCTCACCGGCAGGAGGGGAGGCAAATAACTGCACGTCACAGCGACCGCTGGCACAAATAAGTGAAAAGGCGTCGAGCAGGCCGCCATCGACCAAATCCGCGGAAGACGAGGATGCGGAGGATGAAGAGCATCGCCGCACCACCGTCAGAACGCAGTTGTGCGGAGGAATCTCACGTGAAGGGTAGCGAATCCATTCCAGCCCCATCTCTCCCCACGCAAAAGCCTCCCCTGCGGCGCCATTGCTACCACCACCACCACCCGCACAAAACAGAGACAACTCGCTGCAGTTGACTAGTAGCACAGGATGAAGGACGCCCGCCCCTCCTCCAACTCCCTTTAATTGTGAGGCAAAACTGTCGTTAAACTCCTTCATCGCGAGGCGCATTCGTTCTATTGGCACCGGTGTGGCAGCCTTCGGTTGCACCCTTATCTGGCAAATCTCATCACAGAGGTCTACCGTGAACTTCCTGCGCTGCGCAGGCGTGGACAGCTGGGTCAACAGCGCCAAAAGATCCACCCTACACGCACCGCAGCAGTCGCCGTCGGTGTCCTCGTATTGGGTCGTGACATGGAAAATGGCCTCATGGCTGCCATCACTGAAGACGTCACCAAGATCCACAGTAAACGCAAATGTGTACGGCGCACCACGGCACGCCTGCCTGGAGCTCTCACATCTCACTTGAATTCGCCTAGAGTCTTTTGTTTCCCTGCAGCAAAACTCCTCTAAGCGTCGGCGACGTTCAGCGTCGGACTCCACCGTGTCTCGTGCGCGCTTCACCACGCGCACGTCGGCGGCGGCGGAAAGGGTTCCGTCCCCTGAGAAAGGCATAAAGAAGAAGACAGTGAGTAGCAGATCGGCTCCTGCCGAATGCAGCGCAATAAAATATGAGATTGCCCCTGTCACGGATTCATCCTTCTCACCGTCCTGGTCAGCAACCACACTGCAGACGGCAGCGCGCGAGAAGGGTATGACATCGGGCGGCTCAAAGTCAAAGTACCCACCACTGACCACGTACGCCAGACTGCGCAACTCCGTACTGAGACCTTTTACATCAGAGACAAGGCGATTTGTTATCGCCAGTGTTGCACATGGTGAGTTACCCAAGAAGGGTACCACAGAAGAAATCATCCGCTTAGACACGGCCCGAATAGCGTCCAGGCCAACAACAGCACCGGGACTCCCCAGCGACTTTGCATACATTTGCCGCGTTGGGCGCTCGGGGATAACGTCAATAATTTCTTGCAATTTCACTGCGTAGTCAAAGTGGTTGTCAACGAGAAAAGTCACATCCAAGTTCTCCACTCCAGGGACATTGATAGGGCTCATTCCAGCCATCGGCTTCAATGACGCCTCGTTCACCTTGTACAGGAAAGCAAGAACCCAGTCACTGCGGGAGTAGACGTTAACAAGACGTCCAGCCACCACGCGTCGCAATTCGCCCCAGAGAGCCCGGGACGAGGTCACCGTGGAGCCCATCAAATACACATTTTCAATAACACCAAAGGCCTCCACACGGTGTAGTTCATGTAAGCACTCCACAATGACACGCGATCCGAAGCTGAAACCGATGAGAGACACGGGACGATGGCCTGTGTGTGGGTCTAAAAGAGCCTGCGCCAAATCCTTCCCCGTGTAACCGGCGCGGTTCAGCAGTGTCGCAAAAGCATTGTCAATGGCTCCCGTCGCCCAGACGGCATACATGGGAAGTGCCAAGGTCCCTTTGAGGGCATCCAACGCGTGAAGACCCACAAAAATGCCTCCTTGTAAAAGTTGATGCTTTGCGACCCCTTTCGCCTTGGATACCACTGTCCTGCCAATTTGTGTGGTGAGGGTCGTAGACAATTCCACATTGATGAGGCGCCCAAATTTGGTTTGGTACTCATCTTCCCAATGTACCACGTAGCCCTCCGTGACACCAAACAGGCGGGATCGAAGGAGATGTTTTGCCCAGAGGGCCACCTGTTGATCTTGCTGAGGCCTTCGCTCGTCAAAGATTGACACAAATCCCCCGACGGCGATTGTAAGGGAAGGGCACTTCTGTACCTCCATTCGTGCGACGCGTTCCACAAAGTCTTCTATGCGTAAGCGCACCACAAACGACTTTGTATCCACTTTCAGGTCTGCCCAAACAAACGATTCCGGCATGAGAATAGGTTTAAAATCGCTATCCGATGGGCATTTAAGGCGCATGGGAAGTTCCACAAGGCCACTTAGCGACGACGTCGCCGCACAAGCGACACGCACTGAATTCAACGCACTGACCTCAAACTGCAACTTTATGTAGCACCGTCGATGCAGAACTGGCACGTCAGCATCCACACCACTGTTGACGACCTCCATGAGTAAAAATGCCTCCGCCCCTTTTAAACTCATTGCTGCGTTTGTGAACACACCCAACAATGCCTGTCGAGAAGCAACGGCCGTCAGCAAGTGAGAAGTTCGAGGGCTTAGAACGCCATTCACCAACTCACACTTCAGCACACGGATAAGGTGTTTGGAGCTATTCACAATGGCCACCCCAATTCGGCGGCGCTCATGCAATAAATTCATGGTCTCCACGATGCGCTGCTGCAACTCCGCCATCGGGAAGACGGCGGTGGAAGGCTGCTGGGACACTGTGCTGCCGTCATTCGCCAAGCCGGATATCGTCACAAACGGCAACGGCGCGAAACAGCACCCCATAATCAAGTTATGGGCAGTGAGGGTCTCGTCTGTGTCAATCTTCATTTTCTGAAGTTGCCTAAGCATTTTCTGTGGTTCAAATGCCTCCCGAGAATCCGTAACAGCAACTGCCACTGACAAGTTTCCCCAAAAAGAGAGTTCCGTCAAAACCCACAGCCGCAGTGAAGGGTTGGAGACATTTGCTATGGGTCGGACGTGGTAGCACACGACACACCCGGCGCCTGTGGGTCGAGCAAAGCGATTGAGACAGACAAATACGCCAGAGCTGCCTTCTGGGATAAATTTTGGCGGCACAAGTCCCCACGTCCCAGCCGTCAGCTTCAGCGCCTTTAATTCAAGTCGATATCCGCTCAGTGAGCACTGCACCGCAAATGTGAGACAGCGCATACGGCGTTTAAAATGCTCCTTTGCGGCCACATTAGACATCGTGATAGCTCTCGTATGGGCCGGCACCACAATGCCTCCCCTGGCAGCCTCCTCCAAAACATCCTGCACATTCGTGCGCGCCTCCTGCTCCGCGTCCTCCGCGGCCAGCCTTCGCTCGGCATCCCTCCACTGTGCCAGTTGACCCTCACTAAGAACCGACAACAAAACATCATCGCTTCGCGTAAGCGCAGGAAGCTCATCGAGTTCTGTGATGGATCGAATCATAAAAACGTCTGAGTCTGCTGTGCGGCGAAATGCTTTGTAGCCGGCCAAACTCACCCCACCAATGCCAAAGATAGCGGTAACATTTGCCGCGGTCAAGACAGGCACTACAAGACTAATAAGCGCCGCAGCATGTGTTGCCGCGCCAATCATTCCGGCAAACAGCGCGGCAGCTGCTGTCCCACCAAGAAGAGCACCGCCAACAGCTCCCACAGCGCCAACGGTTGCAGCGGCAGCACTGGCAAAGGCGCCAACGGCGGGGGCGATGAGCGGGGCGGCCAAACCGCCTGTAATAACGAGCGCCGCGCCACCAACTACCGCAAAGGCGCCCACGGCAGCTACTCGTCGCACGCTGACCTTCTTGCCTTCTTTGCGGGTCTGCACCACCTGCCTTTTTTCGCGCAGGGCCTCATCATCACCGTCGCCTGAGAGCAAGAGAGCATCCATTAGCGCCCGCTCCTGTGTCTCAAGAATGGTAAAGGGAATTGCAAAGAGCCAACAGAGCCGACGCACAGCAGCGCGTAGGTGGGCGTCGTATACACCTATGCCCAACGCCAGGTTAAAAGGAAGTAGTGCAATGACCGGATCGAGGTCGAGTGGAATAACATCCATCGCCGCCTCTATTTCTTGCCGAGACATCGGGCGGTCGTACAGGTCTTCCAGGCGGTACGGCGGGGGCACCAGAAAACCGTCTAACACGTCAAGAAGTTTTTGACTGCCTACGCAGGCGTACATCAGCCGACGCGCCGCAAAGCGACATTCGGGAGACAGCCGCTCTTCGTCCGCAATCTTGCTGATTGTGGAATTTAGGGCGGCCTGCAACTCCCCCTCGTCGCGCGCAGCCCTGTACGGTTCCCATGGAAATGTGAAGTCCTTAAATAACATACTTGACCCCCGAAGCGGAAAGTACGTCGAGCCTGCAATGAAAAAATGGTGCGTGTTTGTGGCGGTGGTGGGGGGGGGAGAGGAGTGGAAAGCAGACAAAGACCCAAAGAAGAACAATCAACTAAGCTAAAGGACGAGGGCTCCACCGCGCATAATTCTCTCCAGAGCCACACTGTCTCTCTGCTCCGACGCAGACTAGGAGAAACAACAAGCACACATCAAGAACAACAAGAAATACACACAAACACAGAACAAAAAAAAATCGTATCGTGCCCCTCGCCCCGCCCCACCAGTATTTCTATTGGCAAGTGAAGGCGATGCCTTAGCCCGCAACCTTCTCGCAACGGCCATTCAGTATTATGAAGATGTATATATATGTATATATTCTGTGTGTGTGTGTGCGTAAGGGCGGGGGGGGGGTGAGTGGTGGTCGTGTCTTATTCTATTACGCCCCTGCAAGCTCCCGCCCCACGTCATCCGCTGTGCTGTTTCCACAGCTCTGCAAAGGTCGTGTAGTCGAAGCAGCCCTCCGTGATGAAGTCCCACACCTCGTCTGCGATCTCTTTGCTTCGGCTGGAAAGTAAACTTGTCGCGTCCTCCACAGACGCAATAGACTCGCAATGCTCCAACACGTAGGCGTCTAACTCCGCTTCCTTTTGCGCAATCAGTTCCTTGTGCAGCCCATACCTTTCGTGGTCACTCGATACGGAAGCAAAGGGCGGCAGCCGGCGGAAAACGGCCTCCGTGTCGAAGTTCGCCATAAAGTCCTCGATGACGCCCACAAGGTCGTCAAACTTGGCGTCTTCAGTGGTGCCACCGGCACCACACACCGTGAACTCGCCGTCCTCGGTGTCCATCTTCTCTTCCCAAGAAGCACGCCAGGGAGAGAGGGAGAGAGAAAAAGGAAGGAAGGAAGGAAGGAAGGAAGGGGGGTAGGCAGAAAAAGAAAACGTGAAGCAACACCACGTGGCAAGGAGCACGTCAAGGTCCCACAGCCAGCCCGCAGGGTCACACGAATACACACGAATAAAAATTTACACTCACTTACTTGGGCACAACAGGCCCCAATTACTCGTGCCGTTACTGAGCGCTCAGTGTCAAAGGGACCACCCGCGGCCACGGTTAGGGGTGGGACATCTCATGGAAGAGGAAGTTCCTCACCATAGACGCACCGTCGTTCCTCCACATATGATTTACTAACGATGGGCCCCAATGCTGAGTGCAGCCGGTTTTCGTCGTGTACACGCCGTCGCTCCTCAAGGAAATCGTGTATAGTAAAGCGAATATACCGGCTTGTGCGTGAGACAATGGCTGTGTAGTCTGGCGTAAAGTATCCCTCGTGCAGGAAAATGTCCTCTCCAAACGCCGAGAAGCTGCGCTTTTCGGTTGCAAAGGCGCCATCGCAGACAGACACCGACACGCCACCGCTAAGTAGCAACGTAAACGCGTCACTCCTCTCCCCACTTCGGTACAATACAGGGCCCTCCATTGCGCCCCCTTCCAGTCGAACTACGCAGTCGCCAATGCGACCAATAAAGCGTTCCATCTGCGGACGGGTCCATGCTGCAAAGGCGGCGTAGCAGTTGAGAAAAAAATTGGCAAGCGTCAACCTCTGTCTCCTCGTCATTGCGTCGTTGCCCCCTCTGTCAGCCACAGCGTAGGAGTAAAAGTTTGCACGTGGAATACCCCCCAAAACGTCGAGCCCCAAACCATCTACTCCGACCTCGTCGCATCGGCTCCGGACGTCAAACTTTTTCTCCCCCCACTCCTCCTCCTTTTCCTCCGGCCTTTCGCTTCTCCCTACTTCCTCTTCCTCCTCTTCTTCCGCCCCCCGATCATATTCGTCGTAGATGTCCGACTTGATGAAGCGCTCAATGACATCCTCCAGTGTCACAATGCCAATAATCGGGGAAGCGGTTTGGGGTGCGGAAACCGCGACCTGTGGACGTGTCACTGTCGGCGTTGTTCCCACCGGTGGCTGCCGTTCCTCTACTTTTCCTTCTGCGGGGCCTGTGGTCGTCGTCACGGTACTCGATCTGCCTACGAGCGAGTCGCCCACACCCCCGTTTTTGCACACACCCTCCACAAAAACAAGTTGTGACGTTCCCGATAGAAAAATCTTTAACAATTCATACAACGACAACATCTCTGAAACAACAACAACATCATGTGGGTTTGCATCCACCACCTCCTGAACGGTAAGACCATTTTCCATCTGCTCGGCGGTAATGGTGATGAGGGAACGAACTAACAGAACCCCTGTGATGCCTGTATGGACATCACCAGAGTAAACAGGCAATCGTGAACGGCCGCAGTTCCATAGCTGTTCCATCAATTTGCGCGTAACAGCCGTGTTACCTGGAAGCAGCACAACCTTGTCCAGCGGTTTCAGAATTGAGGTTAGATTGACGTCATGCATTTCAAGGGCACCGATAATCATGCGCATCTCATCATCACCCAACCCAGATTCACGCCCATACTTCTTACAGTGAACATGGATAAGTTTCTTCAACTCATTTCGGTCGTAGACGAGCCCTTCATCGCGCGTCACAATACACTCCAGGAACATGCCCAAAGGTTTTGCCACGGGATAAAGAACAAAAATAGCAATAGATACAATGGGAGCACTTTTTGCCCCAATCCAGAGCGCGTATGGCCCTTTGTTGCAGACGCCCATAGGTATAATCTCCGCACACACGAACACAATGACGGTGGCCACAAGAAAGTTGACTAACTCCGTCGACTGAATGACGGCTGCCACCATTTGTGAGGTAACGACCAAGGTGAGCATATTGCCAATAAGCAGCGTTGCTAAGAGTTGGTGACCATAGCGCCGTATGGGAAGAATTTTTTTGGCGTACGTACTATCTGGCTCCTTCCCTGCAGAAGAAATAATCTCAAGCGTAACAAAGTTCATGCCGAAAAGTCCAATGGTGAGTCCAGCAAACATTGCGGCCAGCGTGACATTAAGCAGCAATGTCACAAGAAGAAGGGCAAGGGGCCATGATGCATAACCGGTTGCGTGCGTCTCCTGTCGCGCGGCGGCCGTCGTTTCCCCCACCACCTCCTCTGCGGCCAACACAGATAAGCACACGAAGGAAATGCCCACACCCAACTGCCTTCGCATCATTGAAGGGCCTGGCCAAATAGATCAGACATGTACGGACACACAGACACGTTCGCAAATGCCAGAAGCAAGGAGGGAGCAACAACAAGGTGAACAAAGACAATACGAACCGGATGCATCACTCACGCGCAGACACACACACACACACACAATAGATAGAGAAAGAAAGAAACCAAGGGGATAGAAAAACAAAAACAAAAAGAGGAAAAGAGGCAGACTCTCCCAGTAAGTTTGCATCGTGACGAACAGTCACAAGAATACATGTACATGTATAAACACTCACGCACTCACACTCACAGAATATATATATATATATATATATATATATATATTTATATAATTAGTTATCTCAGATTGGTTTAGTATCAACGTGAAAAAAAATTAAATGAAATATGGCTCAGGCCTCAGCCTACACAAAGGTTCCATACATATTGCTTTCTTTTTGGCGTTGCAATAACCCCTCCTTGTCATCGCCGTGCGGCTGGCGTTGTCCAGCGTCTCCCGGCCGTTGGGTTAGCGAATCACTTTTTGGCGCATGCTGAGCCACATCTACGGAGCTCATGCCCAGCATGACCAACTTATCGTAGGTTTTAGTATAGACGGCGTTGTAGTCAAGGTACCGTGAGTACAGCTCTTTTGGAATGCGGTACACCCGTGTTGGAGACAAGACCACGGCGTCAAATTCAGGGGCGTAGTCCGAAGACGTTAATGCCTCCTCCGCCAAGCACTGAAAACAACTTCGCTTGAGCGGAAACTTGCTGGGGCCCACGGAGGCCACGACCTTGCCAGCAAGCACGAGCGTAAAAACAGTGGTCGCCACGCCGTCACGGTATAGTACAAACCGTTCGTCCGGCGCCAGGGCAAGAGGATTGCTGTAGGGATCCTCTCTGGAGGTCTCCAATGAAAACTGTGGTGAAATCCGCGTTGATTCAGAGTGCTCAGACGTGATTGGTGAAGATGTCACTGGAAAACGTTGTAAGCTGCTTCTTGTCCCCTCCACGGATGTGTCATCGCCAAAGGAGACCGAAGGCGGAACAAGTTGCTCATCACCACATTCGTCCAAAAGCATTTTAACGTACCCTGGATGCCAGAGGAAAAAGGAATTCACAGCTCGCGTTAAGTAATACGCGACGGACCACACCTGTGATTCCGTTAAAGGAACATTTTGTAAATTGTGAACGTAGTAGGAGCAAAAATTTGCCCGAGGCGCCTGCTTTGGCTCTGGAAGGGGCATGGGTACCCCCTTCTTGAGAACACACACAGAGGTGCTTGGGCAGTTCAAATGATCCTCCGCGGAAAACTCATAGCAGTCATACTCATCGTATATTTCCCCTTTAATCAATGCCTCTGTGACATCATCCAGGGTCACAATACCCACCACATTCTCCCCCTTCTCGAACCAAGGCTTACGAACACAATAATGAAAACGAATGTTTTCCTCACCTTCGTTAGTGACCCCTTCTTCCACCTCCGCCTCACCTGTGACAAGAAACAAGTGCGTTTTGGCGTGCTGAAATGCCCGAAGAAGTGACGGCAGTGGAGAGTTGAGGTTCACAGTGGCAAAGACCCGAGATTTGGCCTTAAGAAGCTCCTCAATTGTAATGGGGTCCGCATCACCAATCGGCATGGGCACCGTCAGCAGGTCCTTGACAAGGAGAACACCAATGTAGTTGTTGGGCTCCTGTATCACAGGAATGCGTGAACGACCAGACGTCCACAAGCGTTCAATCAGCTCCATTGTAATGACTTCCTCCGCCCTCACCACAGTGGTGCGCTCGATCGGCGTCATGATATCTGAGGCCTTTCGCTCGTGGAAGTCCATTGCGGCCATCAAAAGCTGCAGTTCCGACTTAACGAGGCCGCTGCGGTCACCGTGCGCCTCGCAGTGAAGCAGCATCAGCTTACGTAGCTCATTGCGGTCGTAAATCTGTCCCGCGTCGTGAGGCACGAAGCGGTCAAGCAACCATCCAAGGGAGGCGGCAACAGGGTACACCAGCACCATGGCAATGTGCACAAGTATACTTCCGGCTGCGGCAATTCGAAGTGAATACTTCGACTTACAAATAGACATTGGGATTATCTCCGTAAAAATGAGAATAGCCAAAGTACTCACGACAAAGGATGTGACTGTGTCATTCTCCTTCAACGCCTGCCGCATAAAACCTAGAGCCTCAATCTCATGAACCCGGTCCAGAACCGCACTAACCTCCTGTACTACCAAGACGTTCATCAGCATGTTGGATAAAATCAATGTGCATAACGTCTTGTGTCCCTGGCGTCTCAGGGGTAAAATCTGTGAGGCGTACGTTCGATCGGGTTCCGGGCCACTGGTTGCTATGATATCTATTGTTAATGTATCCATGCACATGATACCAATGGTCAATCCAGCAAACACGGCTGACAGCGCAAGGTACACCACAGTGCGCAGCATATCATCCGCAAGAAGATAAATACTCTTCTCCATCTTTTTACGCGACACACTGGCTGCCGTCGTAGTCGCCATCGTTGTTGCTTCTACAGGGGGTTGGGTAGAGTGGGCCTGTACCGAGTCCAGCGCCACGGCCAAGAGGAAGATCCCAAGAAGGCATAACACCCGCCTGTAGAAAGCTGAGAACATCTTTTTACCACTCTGTTCAAAATATTGGATTTTTATGATCATTCCTTGCGACTTGCACCCGCTTGTCTCCGGAGAACACAGGGCAGAAGAAAAAATGCATGCACACATGTATCGGGGAAGAGGCATCAAAAAAAAACACAACACAATGGACACAATAGAAGAAGGAAAACGTAGAGAGAGAAAAACAAAAAAATGTATTT